GAGAATAAAATGAAGAAGAAAAAAAACAATACTGCAAGAAGAAGAAGCGCCTAGACCTCAAACGATTTTCGTCAGTGCGGCAGCGTATCGGGATTCAGTCTTTTACTTCTACGTGTGGGTGCCTCTGTTGTTCCCTTAATGTTTGGCTGCAGCTTTTTTGTCTTCCCGTTTCCCGTCGCTGGGGTGGGGCAAAACGGTTCCTGTTGTATGCAACATTGCTGTACATTCCTGCCCTCCACGTGGTTCGCTTTGAACACACTCTACTGGCTGCCGACACCTCTCCGTTTGACTCGGCGGCCGCTTCGCTTGGTTCCGCCAGCAACCCCCAAACTTATTTCTCCTCTTACGCTCCATTGCGTTCCCTCCGACTAGTGGGTGACTGCTGCAGTGGCGACTATCGCTCCTCTACTTGCATCGTCCATCTGCTATGCGCTCGGCCCTCCTTTTGTTAAAGCTCCTCAATTTCATACACAAAGTTGCGGGTATGGCCATTTCCACTCGCAACCTCACACACACCACGTAGCGCGTTGCCCTGCAGCATAGCGAGAAAAACAAAGAACACCTGTTCCTCCCGTACCCCCTGTACCAGCACGCCCCACTCCATGGGGTATTCCCGTTCCCCGGGTGGCTTTATCGTGCCCTCCAATGACGCCTCTTGCGCAGGAAACCGCGTGGAAGACTCATGCAGGATAAGCTTCCCCGTAATGTTGCCACTGCCAAAGTCCGCTTGAAGTTGTAGCGTCCAGGGAACGTTATCCTCAAACGGCGTTGCATCCTTATTCCCGTTTTCACCGGTGGAAACGCGTATCACGCGCATCATACTACCGGCGGCAGCAGCCGCTGCTGCATTGGCGTCGATTCCATAGGAATCCAGCCCTGCATTGGATGTCGTGTGTGCACTACCAGCATTGACTTTCTTGTATTGCACCACCTGACGAAATACGTAGTCTAGAAGTGCACGAGGGTCGCGATTGCGTGGGCTTCGTAGCTTCTTGGTGACGCCAAGAATCTCTGCAGCCTGCAAAATATAAAATTGAACATCCTCTGGTTTGCACTTGTTCGTTAACTGACTTAGCCGCACCTTCTCTGGTGCGAATTCCTCGTCTAGGTCAAAGAGGTCTAACGCGGGCGGCATCGGATCCCGATGGGTTGGTTCAAACACTGCAGGCTTCACTGGAGGAAGCGGCGTCAGAAACTCCGGTGGAATAAGTGTTAAAGGCTCTTGCTTCACGTTAAGTTTATTGTACGCCTCAATAACCTCTGGAATGATATCTGTATCCAGCTTGAATGTTTCAGTTTGAAAGAGCTTGGTGAAGTCACGCGGCAATTCCTCCTGCTGTTCTACAGCAACCCGTAATCGCTCGGAGAGGGAGGCGGTGTCGGGAACATGGTTGTAGTCTGTAATGTCTGGTTCGTCGGCATCAATTTGGTTCAGTTTCACCCTATGATGCATGTAGTCGAAGAGCACGTTCGTTAGCAGCTCATTTTCCTCCTTTCCAAACCAGGCATCCTCCATCACGAGGCCACTGCCTAGCAGCAGCAGTTTCCCTTGCTTCCGCTGACCGTTGTGTTCCACCACGTCATTGCACTCCCACACTGCCGCAATTGGTCGGTTTAATGGATACGCCATGAACCCACTGCTAAGGATTGGCACCGCTGGGCGGCTCACGTTGAAGCTAAGACCGTGTGGATACACAAATGAAAGGCTGGTGGGGCCCTCGGCTGCAGTTTCCTCCACCATCTGCTGCTGCATCGCCATCGCTGCCGCACTCAACGTTACGCCCCCCAGAGCCCCGGCGGCGACGGTTCGATTTAGCGTCACGGGGGCAGGACGATCACCGAAGGCGGAGCCGCTTGCCTTAAATCCTCCACGGTCGCCTTGATACCCAGGAGCTCCCAAAACATTTTTGCCAGCCGCCTTATTTATCGCCCTGTTGGTCACCCCGTTTGCGACACACACTTCCTTAGGGTGCAGGTATTTGTTCATGACGGTGCGCACAACGCAGTCCTCGTTAAGCGTGATGCCTGTCCATGCATCCAGCGTCTGATTTAGGTAGGAGTAACGGCCACCGTGTCCATCGCCAAAGAGCATAAGCACCGAACCACCATGCTCAACGTACTCGCGAATGACGGCAAGGTCTTCCTCGCTGAGCTTCTCCTGCGAGGCACCAAAGACAACAATGTCGTATGGCAACAGACGCTCCAAGGTTATATCCTCCTTGTTTATATCCACAGTACTGACTTGCTTTAAGCGGCGAGCCAGCTGCTTGTAACCCTTGTTGGGGTGGTACAGCTCCTTTCGGCAGACGTTGAAGAGAATTTTCGGCGGGGTCTCCTTCACTGGAGAACCCGGTGCATGACCGTTACTCGACGCGTGTGTCCCATTCATCGTGCCGCTCATCAGCTCCGAGACGGTCTCCACCCGCGTGTCTGAGCCACGCAAAAAAAAAAAAAGGAAAGAAGGATTTAAAGCAAAGCTGCTGGCGATGACAAGATATAACAATATATTTTTTTCTTTTAAAGAAAGGGAGCCAAACACTTCAGTCCCCCGTCCGCACTGCTTTCTTTTCCTTGCTTTGTTAGGTTAAGGGCCTTTTGTGTTCCTCGCCCCTCCTTTTTTTTTTCCGCTTACCCCTCTTCTCCGTGTGAGGGGGCGCCAAGAGGGAAGAAAGGAGCCAGAGGCACGGAAAGTTAGGCACATAAAGGAGATAGCTGGAAATACGCAAGAAACAAACCCGCCCAGAGGCACGGACGAAGCGTGGTGGGGCAGCAGAAGGAATTTTTTTGGTTTTTAAGAAGAAAAAAAAAGGTTGGAAAGAGGCAATCGCGCGGACTGTCCAAGAGCCGCCATCTACTCCTCGCGCTGTTAATGCTGCGGCAAACGAAATACGGCTAAAACTATCAGCTTTTGTTGGGTTTTTGCCTCCGTTTCCCCCTCCCTCATCCTCGACTTCCTCTTCCCCTTCCTTCTTCTGTTTCTTTTTCCTCCTTATTCCTCGCTTCCTTCACCAATACAGAAGCAATCGGTGCACTCCACGGTGATTTGCTAGATGCATTCGCCGTAAAGAGGCTCCTGCCCTCTGTTTTACGGCTCGCCTTGACCTTATGGGCAAAACAACACCTGTTTTGTTTTGTTTTGTTTTTTCTTCATTAAGCCACTGCAATCAACGGAAAAAGAAAGAAGGGAGCACCGCCAGCCAGACGCACGAAAACACAAACAGAGAGTAAGCAAAAGAAAAAACTTGCACATCGATTTGGACGCGCCCATCGGAATGGCTACATTCGCGCATATCAGTACGGGCATGCGTGGAGTGACGCGGTTTCCGTCCAGCGTTGCCCACTCCCCCCCCTCCCCCACACACCCGCCTGGTGTCGCCTCATCCGTGCGACACACAACGTTGTGGAGGGGAAGTGAACACCGCGGAAGAGGAAGAGGGCGCGGCAGGCAAGGAGCGAAAAGAAGAGTGACACGAGACAAAAGGAGGGAGGCGATCAAGAGACCGGGAGCGGAAGTGCAAAAAAAAAAGTCTGGGGAAAAAAAACATAAAGGCAGTTCTTTTCTCTCGAATTCCGTCACGGAAATAAAAATCTTTTTTTTCTTTTTTGCTTTATTATAATGTGCGGGTGGAAAGCAAATTGGCTCTTTTTTTTTTCTCCCTGTATTGCCTTTTTGTTTTGTTTGTTTTATGAATAAATACATGAGAACACACCGTACTTCGTGATACTATGAAGTTCAGCCCCACCAACGGTGCTGCTCGCACGTCCTACGATACCTGCGGCCGCGACAGCTTGTCAACGTGGTGCGTCTGGGTAAGCAGCTCGTACAGCGTTGCCAGGGCAAACACGATGAAAAGGAGTCCGCCGACCGTATTCACCGTTCGCATGGAAACGTACTTGGCAGTCATATTCCCACAAAGCACAGCCACACCGGTGCACACGGCGTGTCCCAATATTCCCCCAATCGTCACGGCAAACGGGCTCTTCGCTGCCGCGAGGGCGATGGTGGCGAGTTGGCTACGATCGCCCCACTCCGCGACAAACGTGAGCGCGAAGGCCTCCACCAACACAGGAGGCAGCGCGCACCAGCGCCGGAAATGGCCTCCCGGGTTCGGACCGCTCTCGCCGGTTTCAACATGATCGTTCGGGTCCTTTTTGCGGATGGCAGCGGCGGCCTCAGCCATCTCGTCGTCGCTCTCCGCGTCGTCCTGACCCCGCTTGACAAACTCGTCGTACAACGCCTTGCCCCCAAAGCCAAAGAAGAGGATAACCGCCAGAGCCTTTGTGACCCGGACAGAGAGAACGTTGGGAACCACCACCCCCATGAGGGCGGAAAGCACAGTCATACCCGCCAGTGCGCCAAGAGCGCCGACAAAAACCAGAATTTTTGGGTGTCGCATTGCCATCAAACACGCAATAAAAAACGTCTTGTCCCCAATCTCGCTGACAAGAATCATCGAGAAGGAGGAGCAAAGCCCTTCCGTCCAGACCTTCTTGTTGGCGGGGGTTGACATTTTTTTTTGTACTGTCCTACGCAAATGACTGGCTAGGGTGTACAGAGTCCCGGGTGGAGCGGTCGCCGGCTTCGCCTTCCTTCGCCCGTCTCTACACGCAAATACGTAACTAAACCTATTTGCCAAAAATTTTCCCCCGTGGCACCCCTCGCCCCTTTTTGTGGAGAAGAGAGAAAAAAGAAGCAAACAGGAAGTACGCGGCAGAAGCAAAATAAAGCAAAACGCCCAAGAACAACAAAAAAAGGAACAAGCAAAGAAAAGCATCGGTTTCTGATTCCGCTTCTTCTTTTTTTTCGTTGTGGGAGAGGGCAAAACAAGAAGGTCAGCTGAGGTGTGGCATCATTCCTCGCTGCGTTGCAGACGAACACGGCTGAATGCGCCGCAGGTACCCAAATTTACACAACGAGAGGGAAGTCGCGTGCCTGCAAGCATATCGATGGAACAATTATTATTATTGTTATTTTTTTTTCCTTTTTTTTGCGCGCGTGTGTGCGTGTGTCTGCGTATGTGTATGTGTATTTGTGGTTGTACGTGTTTGCGTCCGTGTTAACGGTGGAGAACAAAAACAGAGGGAGGGACGGTGTGTGTCTGTGGAGCGTAGGGCGGCGGCAAACGAACACGACTGAGAAACAGCAGAAAACGAAACGCACAAACCAAAAGAAAAAGAAAAAAAGGACAGAAAAAGAAACACAACAACACACATGCACACCGAAAAAAAAACGAGAATGAAAAAAGGTGGGGGAAAGAAACAAGGGAAGATATGAACCCCAACGTGAGGAAGAGGCAAAGAAGAAGACAGGTTGGGACATAGAGGGCGCCCAAAGTCAGACACGGCACCAACAATGCAGCATTCGTTCCCCTCACCCACCGAAATTCCATATGCCTTGCCAATCATACTCTCTCCCGTCACACCCCTCCATTTATCCGGCCTCCCCTCCACCGTCGCGCCGAAGCGCTCTATGTTAGTTATTGCCCCTCGCCTCTCCCGTTTCGCCGTGCTTCCTGCGTGCAGGTCCGTGGTGCCCCCGGGCAGAAACTACACCCCGTCCTGCACACAAAGTGCGAAAAGCAGAATGCGCTGGAGAAGGTCAATAAAACAATAAAACAACAAAAAAACAACAACAGCGGGCGAAGAATGCATCAAAAGCAGTGGAAACTGTGAGGAACGCCAGCCCCAAGAAAGGAGGAAAAAAGATGGAGGCAAGACTCTGACGAGTCACCCCGTCCCCACCTCCTCGTCGCCAGAAATACTCACTCATTTTATCCTCGCCCACAACTCAGCCTTCATTTCTTTCCCCTCGTTTCCCAAGTTTTTTTTTTTTTCGGTATTTTTTTGTTCTTTTGCGCTGCGATTACTCTGTGCTCGTGGTGGCGGTGGCTGTTAGAACCGCTGCAACTCCCTCCCCTTTCACACGCGCACACAGAGAAAAAGGAAAAGACTCAATAAAAGCAGGAAAAAAAAGACAACAATAGCCAGTAACAAAATGAAAATACACGCATATATTACCTTATCAACCGCAGTGAGCATAAAGGGGGATATCGGCCCCAGACACGCACACAGACACACGTGCACAGGGGCAACAGCGCCCCCAGCAGTTTCGTCATTTTCTAACGACACCGGCGGACGCCTGCTGTCCGCCTGATATGCGTGCGTCCGTCATTTTGCTTCATCTTCTTTATTTTGTTTGGCAGTTTTTATTTTAATTTTTTTCCTTTTCTTTTCTTGTCGGTCTTCCGCTTCTGCGCCTCCTTCACGTTGCTCGCAATGCATTCATGTTTTCTACCCTCTTCTTTTCCCCCACACACCTCTCAAGCAAGCACGCACACCGTGTAGCTCTCTCCTTCCCCCCCCCCCCCCCCCCCGCCTGTGGACCATTTCAGCGCCCCTCCCTCGTCTGCCCCGGGCCAAAACAAAGCCAACAACGCGAGGGTGTGAACCAACAAAAAAAAAACGAAGCAAAGAGAGATGATAATGCGGGGCCTTCTTTTTTCTGTTGTGTCTCATTCCCTCATTTGGCATAGCAAAAAAGAGCAACGACGTGGCAGCGGAAGAAGCGAAAGAAAAGGGAGAAGGAGAAGGAGGAGTACGCGCGAAGGATTGGAGGGGGTAGGGTGCTCGCACCACGCCTTAGTACGTCGCACAACGGATGGCCCCCGCTTTCTCTCTCCCTCTACTGTCGGTGTATCATCAATCACTCTCATAGCCGTATATATACATGAAAGGGCACATATTTTTTTCTCCTACCTCTTCGTTTTATGTGTCTTCCTCATCACCTCCACCAGTCATCCCTCGCAGCGGCACACAAGAGAGCGTGCCCAAGACGCGGCCACATGTCACACGGCACAGCCAAACATGCAAGAAGAGAACAACGGAAAACGAAATACAAGAAGAAAGACACACTCTACACAGAGAAACTAATGGTAACACGTTGCCCCGATTTTCCCGCCCAAAAAAGGGCACATATACACACTTACACGCGGTATAAAAAAAAACTCCACTTTCCTGTTTTTTTTCCCCCTCCTCCTCCTCCTCTTCCTCTTTTATTTTTTTCTTTTTTTTTCTCCCGTTGTGGCGTCTCTTGTTTTATCATGTCCCTCTTTATTTCATTTTCGCTTTCCCCAGTTTGACACCCTCTTCGATGCCGCCGAGTTTTGACCTCCTTCTTTTGTTATTTGATGTTGTCGTTTTTTTTTTGCCTCTGTTATGTTCTTTTCTCTGTCTAGTTTTTGTTCCAGCTTTTTTTCCTTTTTTTTCCCCCCCGCACGACGAAGGAGAAAGTGGGTGTGTGTTTATGTACTGTCGTTGTCGTTGTTTTTTTTGTTTTTTTCGGTCCTGACGCGCGGCCCTCACACTCACACCGTCTCTTCGGCCACAGGGGGAGTTGTCTCACCCCGTGGCTCGGCCGCCGTCGCTGGCGTCGGGGTCAGCGTTGACTTCACCTCCTGCTGCTCCCCAGCGCCTTCCTTGCTGTTTGCCTCCCCCCTCGCACTGCTATTCTTGCTGCTCCCCTTGTCCTTCGTGCTCCGCTTGTCCTTCACACTGGTGTCCTTTTCCTCCGCCTGTACAGGTGAGAGGACACGGTTAAATTGTTGATTGCTGCTGCTGCTTTTGCGTTGCCCCGGGTAGCGAGAGTGGGTGGGATTCACGTGCAGCTCCTTGCAGTGCTGCCCAAAACGGCACTTGCCCTTGATGTTGTTTAGGCATGCTTCGTATGGGTAGTTTGCAAAGGCGCAATCGTCAAGGAAGTTGCAGTGGCCATAGACACGAAGGCAGGGATGTTTTTTATTGGAAAGCTTGGCACCGTTGCCGGCACTCTGCGACTGCCGTGTCTCCCAGCGTCGTCCAGTTGTGTTGCTAGTGTTGGCGTTAGCATTGGCGTTGACGTTGGTGTTGACGTTGGCGGTAGTGGAGGATGGAACAGCATTGCTGCTTTGGGAAGCATTGAGACTGCCAGCAGTGGCCGCCTTCGCAAGCGACGCCTCCAACTCCGCCACACGGATGGGTGTTGCTCCTGGGTTGACTTCCTCATCCGCCCAGTTAAGGCCGTTGCCGCTGTTGGCACCGTTGTTGTTCGCGTTATTGCCCTTCCAGTTCGCATCACTCTGCTGCGGCGTGTAGGGAGGAATGGGGCGACGCTGCGATATGGGAGGTACCTCGCTGGTTCGAACCGACTGCAGCATGTGGACAAGGCGCCGCAGGGTTTGGTTGGGGACCACCACCTCTAGCAGCTCCTCCTTCGTAAGCTGAGAATACGCCTTGGTGTTGGTGTTCGCACACTCCCGCAAGTACTCCCGTATTGAAACGTTCTCGTAGGTAAACCCGTCCGATGCCACCACGGGATCCTTTACGGAGGCATACTGGCTGACAACCCGCTCCACCGCCGCCAAACTATTCTGCGCCGCAATAAGCTTCCCACGAGCCTCATCGCGTTGCTTAAGCGCGTTGTTGTAGACGTGTCGCGTTTCCTCAAGGGTGCGTTGAAGGCTCTGCAAGACGCCAAGAAGGTAGGGCAGCGAGCACTGGTGACCGTTGAAGCCCTCTTGCAATTCCTTCACTGCCCCCCAAATTAGAGGGGCTTGCTCCGAGCCACTTCCTGTCTTGGCCTGCATTCCCTTCACGTGTTCCTTGGAAACCTTTCTCTGTTCGTACCGCACAGCTGCGTGCGGTGCGCGGGTCGCGGCGAGGAGCAAAGAAGATTTTCACAAAAAGGAGGGGGACGGAGGAGAAGGAGAAAAAGCGATAAACAAAATTTCATGCGATGAAAGAAGACAAAGCACCGATGCAAAAAGGCCCAAGCAAAAATGGAAAAGGAAAAGGAAAAGAAACCAACATGGAGCACCCGACAAATGAGAAAGAAAAAGGAAACGTGGAAATATCAGGGGGGAGGGGGGAATAAAAAGGGGAAATGACGACTAGATAAACAAACAGCGAGCTCATGAAGTAAAGTGCGTGTGCGTGCATGCTTGCATGCATGTATCTAAGCGTGTGTGTGTGTGTGCGAGCGAGCAACAAAAAAGGGACTTCGCGTCCCTTTGTGCCAAACAAAAACAAAACAAAAACGCCAGCGTTCTTTCCTCCACCACCATCCCTCCACCTCCGTTTTCCCTGCGAACCCACCCGATTCATTCTTGGCCCACACGCACACACCTCTTCGTTGCTGGCTGCAGCCTGCAGCGATACTCCTGCGGCCGCAGTTTCATTCTCTCGTTGGGGGAAGAGGAAGAGGGGGCAAAAACGGCCTTGGCATCCGCTGCAAGGCACTCGCCAAAGAAGAAAAAGAAAACAAAACAGAACAAAAAAGTGGAAGAATGAAAAGGCACAATATAACCAAAGAAAAAAAAGGTCGGAGGAACAGCACTTGTGCTTGTCATATGTCTTGGCTGCTTTTTCCCGCCCCGACGCGTTGCATGTTTCCCTCGTGCCGGCAGCGGCCTCTTTTGCCCGGACGCTCTCCGCCTATTTCTGCCCCTCCCCCTCCCCGCTGCTGCACGCAGACTCCGCTCCCGCCAAGCGTCGATCGCACAGAAAAAGAAAATAAAA